CTCAATCCCCTTGTCTTTTTTTTCCCCGTCTCCCCCTCCTCCTCCCTCTCAGTGTTTGAAGCTAATTCGTTGCGGGGGTGTGTTGTTTTTGAAATCAAGAATCAAAACATGCCCCTCATGATTTCTGGGCACAAGGCTGGTATTACATAACTAAAACCAGGAAATAAAACAACACGTTATTTCTCAAGCAATGAAAACAAAATTAGCAAAGCCTAATTTCCTCCACATTTGTGCATTTTAGCTTTACCCTGCTCGCTTCATTCTTATACCAATACTCTCATTCTCTCCTGACTCAACTCCCAACTTCCTCTCCCTGTCTCCATCCTCCTGCTCCCACTGCACACACACATATATGCAGAGCTACCTGGACTGGGCAAGAAACAGCAAATGCTGTAGTTTCTTTGGAATTACACATGGGAAGAGTGGCCCGCTAGCCCATGCACTGACTGGCCAGCCAGCCAACAGACAAATACTAGGGTCATGCTGCTCTCCTTCCCTCAGTGGCTACGCTAATTTGTGCCAACAGCTAACGTCCATGAAGCTTGCAGGAACTTCATCTTGAATCTATCGCAGGTCTTTCAACTTGTTGGTCAGCTGCATCAAAGTTTTACAAACGGAGACGGGGGTGGCATAATCATATTTTCTTAGAAACTAAGCTTTTATAGAGAAAGAAAGACGACGTATGCAACACGGAATATTTAGGCAACAGGAGACAAAGCCAACGGTTCCCACTTGCAAAGCCCTGCAGTGAGAAAAATGTAGTTTGCATACTGGGGAGAGAGAAATGTTTTGGTTATTTCCTCTCAGTACTTTCTCATAAAAAAAAAGAAAATGTCAAAACTATTTTAATACTATTTCAGCAATGTTTCAAAATGCATTTTTTCTCCCTTGAATGACTGAGTGGTTATATTAAGTTAATAAATGAGCCTGCACTACTTAACTAATCATACAGTTTTAAACTTAAGTCAAACAGAGGTGAGTTGATAGGCTAGTAACATGCACTTTTTCATCAGAGGAAGATGGAATTGTTTTGTATACTGAATCTCATTTATGCTTTATGAATTTTCTTTCCATCAAAGTGAGAATGTCAGCAAGACTTCCAACAAAATAATTGAACCCCTAAATGTTTCAGAGTGAATATATACACAGAAAATGAGCAGTTAAAAGAAATTCAGTGGCAGGAGAGGAAAAAAACCCTGCACTGTCTCTCTTAGCCATGCTACCAAAAATATATGGTGCAAAATGCCTCTTGACTCTCAAACTGCTGAGTAAAATCAACCCTATTCTACTCGTGACCAAGAAGAAAATGGGGGTGGGAGGTAGAGAAGGGAAAAACTAGCTTCTTCCCAAACTGCAAGACATAAATTTTTGAAGACAACTACAATCATATCTTCCTAGCAAAAAACCAGCATTGTCTTTTTAAGAAACTGGACCATTCATAAATGTGATCATACAGCCATTGATGTCATTGAAGGTCACAGTATGATATTTTTTCCCCAAGTACTTCCCCAATAAAGCACGAACAATTTGTTTAAGATGGAAAAGTGAGCTATTAAAAGAAGCCACTATTCGAATTGCTGAGGGCAATTTCACAAAGAGCTTACACTAATCTAAGTGTGTGCTGCTGCTGAGAAAGGGATGTTCCACCTTACCATTCTCATCCTTTTGCCAAAACATGCTCTTTGTGAACATGCTGTAAGCTCAACCAGAGACCCAATGCAAAAGAATAATTAACCCAGGGACCAAAAAAAGGAAGAAAAAAAGACAACCCCATACCCTAACAACCCAACCTTCAGCTAGATGAATTCTTTCAGCTGAGTAACTGGCACAGGCTTTAGTGTCATTGCACAGGAGGGCGTAAGACCACAGCAGTGGGTGTGGATTTCTGGGGAATTGAGTTATCTTTGGTGACAATGCATGATGACATCAGCATGCAGCCTGCCCGTGAAGCCCCATACTCAGAAAGCTAAAGCCAAATTTGAAAATGAGCCTGGCAGTTCATGAAGAAGGCAGAGAAAAGAATGAAATCTACGTACCCCCCTCCTGCTTTTTTTGCACGCAGTCTCCAGAACTCCATTGGCTTCGACAGAGTTTAACACCTCTTTTACTTTTCTTTTCTTTTTCAAGGTTGCTGCTTTCTGACTGGAGACCTTCATCCCTTCCAAACCAACAAGCTTTGTCTTCAATTTGACCTGTCTGGAGGGTGCAGATTCAGAGTCTGCGTCTCCTGACAGAGTCCCCAGCAAGCCCTCCTTGTTGGATTTCACGTCAGTCTGCTGCAAAAGGGTATTCCCATTCACCAAGACAGCCCCTGCTTTCTGTTTCTTTTTCACAACCTTTGGAGTTAACGGTGTGACAAACGGGCTGACATCCTCTGCCCCACTGGCATTAGCTGGTCCATTCTGACACGCTGGCTTTACAGGAACATTTTGCACTTTTCGATTCATTTTCTTCAACTGACTCTTTTTACTCTGTTCTGCGTCCATCGGATGGTTCTGTGCAGAGATACTGTGATTTTCTCTGGTGTCAGCTGCTACATTTGTGGTCTCATTTGCCTCATTTACTAGCAATTTCTTTTTCTTCCTTTCCTTGTTATTTTTTGGCACCTTTCCCTGGCTAAAAACATTAGATCCAGATGTTTCAGCTATTCCTTCCTCACAATTTCCATCAGCTGTTCCAGAATCAGCACTTGGGCTGTCCCTCTTCTTCCTTTTTTTCCTTTTCTTCTGGGGAACTGATGCCTCATTCGCACTTGACGTGTCCTGTTCATCCTCTAAATCCACCCCAAAAAGAATGCCATATAACACAGATGTGAAACACAAAGGTACTTACAACAACTGAACTCTGTTCTATGGGGTCTTTTGTTTGTTTGTTTTTCGTGGGGCTTTTTTTCCCTCTTTTCTTTTAAGATAGGCATACCATTTTTCTGCTATCAGCCAGCACAACAGTTTTACTATTACAGCTGGTCAGGACATTGCATTCCTCTTGGACATTGACGCCTGGCCTAATTAATATTTTGCTGATCTTGCCTTGCCACAGCTAACATCTAAGCCATTCCCTGTGGTAACCCTATTTTGTATAGTAATATTGCCAGAAAAAGTTGTCATTACCCACCTGGTAAGCCCATCAGAAGGGTAACTCAGGGGTTCAGTAGTTTGGTGAGATATTTTTGGGTATGATTTGGCTTGTGCCATGTCAATATAAGCCATGATGCTAGAGATACTTGCATGTGGTTCTCAGTAACTCTTCACCTTTCCAGAAACATCCCCAAGTTCCTATATTCTAACAGTCATCCTGTTTTAAGACGACTGACGTTTCTGGTTTCCTACAGTAAATGGAACTGCTCAATGGAGCAATGCAAACCACTGCTTCCAGTTCCGCTTTTGATTGAAATTTTCAAGGTGATGCTTGTCTCAAAATTGGTAACAAAATTCCCACCACTTTCAAAGAGACCTTAATTTCACATTTAACCTTCATCACAACATGATACAAATCAGCACATCCTGAAAAACAGGTCTGCCTTCTTCAGAGCTGCTTATATCTGATACTTTGCCAAGTTACACAAGAGACTGCAAATTGTCTCTCTTCCAAATGTCGATCTTGCCTTACCTGTTACTTTTTCCAACTTGTTTTTCTCCCAAGGCTTGACAGCTTTTTTCTTTCGCCTTCCCCTGCTCAATTCATCATCGTCTTCATCTGTAGAAACATCTTCGGGAAAATCTTGGGGGAAGATTCCTGTTGAGGAGGAAGGATAAGGTATCTGAAAACTAACAGTATTTTCTATTGAACAGTTTCTATGTATCTAGTTCTATTTCTATGAACAGTTACGCTGTTCATATACAGCATAACTCCCACAGAAAGAAAATCAACTCCTTGTTCCCTACTCAACCCGGAAGAAAATCATACAAGTGATTCCTATTTGTTTAAGTAAAAATAATCGTCTTTCATTTAAGGACAAAGTGCAGGGTTGCTCAAATTGTGAAGGGGATTTGGCCATCTCACCAAAAATGTGTAATGTGTCTTAATGAGATTTAAAAAAACCCCACAAAACCCCCCAAAACAGTATCCTTGAAATACACATTAAAAAAAAAAGAAAAAAAAGAAAAAAAGATTTGCAATACACATTGTATGGCAACATCATATACCCTTTAACAGAAATAAACTGTGTGCTGTCTCTGTGTGCTGCTCAGTCCTTACCTTCTGCTAAGTCCTGGAACCTGGAGGTGGGGTAGAAGGGAGAGAAAGAAAAACAAAACAGTATTACTGGTTTAGTACCAATAATAACACTAGCAGCATAGCGTCACTGTACTTCTAACGGTTTTGTCAAAATAGGAACAACATATTTTACACAGGAAGTTACAAAGAGCTCATTCCAGAAGAGATCTGCCTCAGAAATCCAAAAACTCAAACCAAATCACTGAAAGTATTGAGAAAAGAGCAGTTTAATACTTCTCCCATTATCTGTAATTTGCATCACACACAATCTAATGTCACATCCTGCAGTACAAATCCACCCAGTGTAGATACACCTCAGCTAGCTGCAGTTGTCTAGTACCAATGAGGAACAGCAGCACAGGCTTCACGCACCTTATGCATGTTATCCAGGGCTGTGAGACAAGCCTGCTCTCGTGATGTTATCACCAGGACAAGCAAGGGTGGGGAGAAAGATGCATGCAAGGTGCATTTCAACAGAACTCACTTTTTGACCAGCTTGTACAGACGCTTTCTGTTAAGGGAAGGTGTATTTTTCTTGCTCGCCAACTCAAAGAGTTTGTCAGCAACAGCCTTATAATCAAACTGTTGGAGGAAAGTATGATACAGCTTTTCTTAGTTAGCTTATTCATGTAAGATAACCCAGTGCCACTCATGTTATCAACACTTCAAGTAGTATACACATCTTTTAAACAGCCACCTCCTTTAAACCCAAGTATTTTTTTCTCTGTTGAAATTTACACCCCCTTCACACGCATATACTGACTTTTACAGATGGCTGCTTCATTAACAGAACAGTTGAACTCATATCACTTTCTCAAACATTCCTAACCTTAATTCTAACGCAAGAGAGAAGCCAACCAACTTCAAAACTTCCACAAATATTTAGCTAAATATCAGATTTAAAGTGTGTCATGTCCTAATTCTTGCTTAAAAGCCACAGACACATGAAGCATATCTACCTGCATGTGTGTTTGATTGGTGGATCTGTCAAAAACACTACAGTGCACTGGAAGAGGGTCTAAAAAAACCCAAATTGCAACGTTACCCTCTCTCCTATGTATCCCATCATCCATTACTTTTGTTCTTATTGTCAATGAAACTTATGCTGATTGCTTTACCACCCACAGTGACGTGGCTTTTGCCATACATTTTTGAACTCCTGAAACAGGAAGGGAAGAGCAGAAAAAAGAAGGTATGGGAGAAAGGAAAGAAGAATTCAGAATTTAGACATGAATTTATTTTCTTATAAACTACTCACAGAATAAATATTACATAAATACCACCTTACATTCAAGCAGAAGGAGATTAAAATTTTGTAATGTGTTTATCCGATTAACACCCTTTACTTCTGTACCTCTTGACAGGGATAGGAAAAAAGAAAACAGCGGGGGAGTACCAATAACAGAGTAAGCAAGCCACAAACCTGAAGAACAGTCCCAATACCATCATCAGCATTTTCATAAACAGCCTCTGTTTTTTCAGAGCTCTGTGCTGATTTTCTTGACAAACATCTGTCTGCTATTATAAAAAAAAGACTGAATATTAATGTTTAGTTGGTAAAAACCGAGATAGCACACACTACTTTGATAGATGGAAGATCAGGTGCATTTTTCTTCATGCAATCTTGTGAGCCTGGACTGATTTAATTACTTTATGTCACCATTATGCAATACACAACTGTGGCATTATCTGAGCGCCTTTTAAAAAATTGCCTCTGTACCAGAGTATATCTGTATTGAAAGCCTTCCTGCTCAGCTTTTTTAAACTTTTTTTTTAAATTTAAAACTCCCATAGAATGCCAAAACCTCATCTTCTTCAAAAATGCTATGGACATCCAAGAGCCAAAAGCCAGACTGGGTTATCATCTAGCATTGTTGCAGAAAGCTGATATTGCCTGGTTTTATAGAGACCACTTTGTTTAAGCACTTGTGAAGGGAAGAGAGGAAAACACAACTACACTTACAACACCTTGAACATGTGTTTGACTGGTTCAGAGCAGAAATGTATTTTTAAGAAACAGATTTTAAATCCTAGCTAGTGTTACCAAGGCCATTTAGAACTTCCTTCTCACCTTTGGTTTTAAGCACCTCTTCATTTTCCTGTTTGTCTTCTTCAGACACTTCCTCCTCATCATTGTTGCTAGCCAGTTCTTTCATTAGGTCCTCGATGGCGTAGGGGGACTGATCCACAATGACCTCAAAGATACCAGTGGCTACAGCATGCAGCACGCATCGACTGTGTTACAGGAGAGCGGGGATGAAAGTTGAAAGGCAGAAGCATATACACCCTCCCCTCTCACATTAAAAAAATGGAAATTTGAGGGATACAGGGAAAATGGGTAAGAAAGAAGAAAGTGGAAGAGCATCTAGCTCTCCAGATGAGGAAGGTGAACCTGTTACTTCCTAAAGAGCAGTCATTTAATCCAAATAGTGTCCTGCCAATGTTTCCCTCTTAAATTTCACTGTGTTTATAAGTTGCTCTATATTACACTGCAACAACAAAGAATCTAATCAGCTCAGCTGTTCTATGCATGTTTAAAAAAAAAGAAAAACAGACAAAACCAACCAACAGAGGTTGATATAGTTCTTATAAATCCAAGAAGATTATCTATAGCTTTGATAAACACACGTTATCTTCAAATGACTCTGCACATCATTAGTAAAATATCCTTCTTTCTCTACATTCTGAAGTTATACTACGACTCTTCTTCAATCCATTTATTACATGTGGAATGGTATATGCAGAATTCCTTAATTCTTAAAAAAATATTTATCCTTTCATTAAACTTACTCCTTTGATTTGGCAGCAATTTTGCAGAAAGGTTCAATGAACTTGAGATTCTGGTCTGCTGTGAGCTGTATGATTAGAAGGAAAAAAATAATTAGTACAGTAAATATTGTATGTGTACACTCAAATTCCTTGAATATTTGGTGTAGGGGATGTTCTTTAAGAAGTTAAGTCAAAGTCTTTCAGCATAGTGTCTAATTCCAACTGACAGGAGTATCCAGTGACTTTTTGTTACCACTGCTACCACTAACTTCCAGATATTCCCTGGAATCATTACAAAAATGTTGATTGCTTTGCAGACTTTCATCTACTTAGTACAGAAATATAACAAAGCTTCTTATTTTACATATGGAACATGAAGCAGAGAAAACATAAATAATTTTGTGCTCTTTCACAAAGAATGTCTGTAACAGACATGAGTAAGATCTGGGTTTCTCTTAACTGGACCGCTTGGACCAAACACTGTCAGTAGCACTAAAGATAAAAATCCTTCCCTAAATTCAATTTCTGAGCATCAGCTGTGATTTCAAATAGTCTAGGGGACTAATTCCCCATGCTTCCTGTGAGTGGCTTAGCTGTGGAATGAGGGTTTTGTGACCGCAGAGCTGCAGAAATTATTTGGGCTCCAAGTGCAGGCACTTCTCTTGTGCAGATACCTTCTCTCTCACACTCTACAATCCAGAACCACAAAAGCTGCAGGCAGGATTGCTTTCAGTACTGACTGCAAAGAATACAAATGGAAAATCGCTAACAGCTTCATCCATTGCAAGGAGATGTATCAAATGCCAGAAACAAGAGGAGGTAAACGAGCAGAAGCCTGGAACGAAGTGTGGGGCAGCGGGTACCTCGCCCTAGTGGAGTAACAGGAGATAGACTCTGGAAGAAGTTCAGCATCGACAGCTGCAGTAACAGGCTTTCAGTTGCTGCAAAACTCTGCAGCACTATAACATCAACCAAAATTTAGGGCAACTGAAACAGCAATACACAGCAGAGAAAGACAGATGTCATCAGCAAAATGAACAGCTGGATGTAGAGGGTAAATTGCTCAATGCACAGGCAACAACGTCTGAAGCCAACAATAAGCAAATAATAGACAACTTGAAAGCTCACTTTCGTCCTCTATTTAGGTGTATTATACAATCAGCCAAAAGCAGGCTTTATGTCAGTTTTTGCAAAAGCAAAGACTGGCAAACATGTTCATACAAGGGAAAAGATGTTAAGTCCTTTCTGTTGAAAGAAACAAATGAGAATGGTTTAACTTTTCTATCGCTATTTCCAACCTCAATTTGGAGCAGTATACCAGTACTCAGGAACTTGGGAGAAACTACTATATTCTTACTGTCTACAGTAAGACATGAACAAAAGTAAAAGCATAAATTGTAATAAGTCACTCTTCATGCTTATTCAATGTTGCTATGTTACACTCAAAACTGTTAAAAAACATAATTTAAAAATTCTGTTTCTTCTAAAATGCTGCATGCCACAGTTAACATTAATCAGGAAGAAAATTACAACATATTTTCTAACCTCTTTTGCACCAACTTTAGCCAATTCACTCAGATAGATATCAATGAAATGTAACTTTATCCCAGTGGGAGCATTGCTGTCTGGGTCCATAACTTCTTTCATTAGTAGCTGCAGGAAGAGTTCAATCAGACTGAAAAAAAAAGGAGAGAGAAAAAAGGACAAGATAGTCATATTCAATTGCTCATGTTCTATTTGCTTTGAAAACAAACTCTAGTAATTCACAGTTTTACCAGTTCTTTAGGACGGCTGTCCAACATTCATAAGAAATAAATCCAGTGACCAATTTTCACATCTTAAAGCAAACTTTAAAAAAAATTCATTGATAATCAGAACTCCTTACAGTCTAGATGATTTTGTAGCATCCACTCAACACAGTTCGCTACAGTGAAAATCACTGTTTTAAAATTCACACCCTAATTTGGACTGAAGTTTATTATGCCATATGATTGATGGGTGGGAGGAGGGATTCTGCCATTTGAGCAGGGCATTCTGAAGACACAGCTGTCACATTCATCCATCCTTGATGGGCAACACCTCATACACTTCCATTTTATGAGATGATTTTCATTTTGGTGCACACCCAAGGATTAAATTTAATACTTATCCTTCTCAAACTCATTTCAACGGTGCAGACTTTGTCTTCGTTAAAGCATGTATCCACTGTCCCTCAGAGCAAAACAATTACACTGAAGAACAGATCGAGGGCTAAGCTAGGCATAAAAATATCACCATCCCAATAGCTCAAGCCAGAAGTGACTGAGCTGTAGAACTGTGGCTCTCTTCAGTTACTGACTTCTGGAGTACTAACAAATACTGCCGGAATGACATGGCTCAAAGAGACATGTTGCCATTGCTGCATCTAAGCAGCACTTGGGACTTTTTTTTTTTTTCCTGAGGCCTATCCTTGCTGTCTTTCAGGAAAGTGAAGCTTTGTATATTCCACACTTTCTCCCCTGGCGTTCTGTGGGACCTCCTGCAATTTTGCCCAGAAAAAACGTTTCCAGTTCCAAAGAGAATTTAAAGCATTCCAAAACCATAAAGATTATTTCAATTTTACTTCAATACTCCTTTCGTCAAAAGCATTTTAAAAGAAAAGAGAAATGGAAGACAGGCTAGGCAGCTTCTAGGCTCCACCTGGGAGGGAAAGGCAGTTCTTGAGCTCCCTCACTCTGCAAAGAAAGGAATCATGATCTTCTCTTCCCACACTGCCTCCTCTGGTGGTGAAGGGCCTCCAGGCCATCCTTCCAGTGAAGTTGCAAAAAGGGAGGCCAAAGCCCTAAGAAACCTTATCAGAGATCAGTTTGGGTGACCATGTCTCTGCCACGGGAATGCATGTGGGGAAGAAGGGCTTTGGCTTTATCAAACCTCCTCCCATACTCTCTGTTTCTGTCAAGGAGAATTTTCATCTCTTCAACCTGTGGGCATTTACCCAATGCAAAATTAAGGTAGAACAGAGGGGATGGGGTGTACTTTAGCTTTGCATTCCTTTCCATTTGCACAAAAACATGCCTACATGCATTCCACATTTAGAAGGCAAGAGAGAGAAAGGATAACCTTAACACTAGGTTGTCAAGCACTTTTTATTAAAAGACTTAAAGCTCTTCATCAGTTTAAATACAGAGCGAGCTTAGAAGTGGCACAAGAGCTCTAGACAGAGCAAGATGACTGCAATTACTTGCCATTTGGTAGAATATGGAAGAAATACAAACAAAACCACTGATGTATACAACAAACAGGAAGCCAGTCTACAGTTAAGTAGTTCTGTCTTATCAAAGACAAGTCACCAGGATTAAACACAGTAAAATAAAAAAAAAAAAAAAAAAAAAGAGAAAAAATTTTTTAAAAAGTCACAGCCAATCAGAAAAACAACACAACCAACAAAAAATTCAATTCGTTTTCTGGGATGCAGGTTCCTTGTCTAATCTCTCCACATAAATTGATATTCCATTGATAGCTCTCCTGGCTATCAGTCAGATCAATCAAATCAGTCAGATCTAGCAAACTCCATTATAAATTTGGAGCCCTCAGATTTCATGACTGCTGGGAATACCACACAACAAGCTCCTACGTTCAGGTTTTGCATAAGCATACATTAATTACTTTCTCAAATCTCTTTCTGTGAAACACGCACTAAATGGCTTAGATGAACATGAGAGTTAAGTTATCGATTGCAGTGTGTATTTAACTTAATGAAGCGTAACACCTAACTTTGTTTCTAAACTACATATCTTAAGTGATCTGGAAAACAAATAAGCCTTAGTGTTAAGACTTCGTGACAGTGCCATCTATGGAGAAAAAGGATCTATTAAACGAAAATATATTTCATAAAAGTAAATTGGGCAACTTCTTTATGATGCAACTACATTCAGAAATCTGCTTACCTTTCATCCCATTCGTTTCTTTTCAGCACTTCAAAGGATTGCCTCAAAATCATACGCATTAGCTGCGAAGTACAAAATTTGTTATACATGTTGCTCATGAAAACAGACAGAGGAGTTACTGTGTCTGTAAGATGAACAGACTTCTTAGTAAAGCTCTTCGTAGCACAAGGTGGAAAGCTTCCTCATATGAACATTTTGACAGACTTGTCTATCATGTCAAGCAACAGAAGGATGCTGTGAAGCTCAAAAGACAATAAACTATTTTCATATCCTAAGCCCAGAAAAATCCATGACCATTTCTACTATATAGCTTTCTCTTGCTCCATCACCCCTATTTCTTCATTAAGTGCTGCCAAACCTAAAAAACCCCACAGCTTAAACTGGAGAAAACAATAGGGGACAAATGATAACAATAATAATTTAATTTACATGAAACTTGCACTAAGAGACAGCCATATGTAAAATAGCTACATTAAACTGGCTCAAAACACTTCACCTACTAAAATACCTGGTGTCTGCTAACATTGAGAAACAAAAAACAGCAGTGAATGTGCCTGTTTCTTTCAAAGAAGAATATTAATGTGATTTTGTTCTTTACAAAGGTAGGTCTTTTAAGATTCTTCTCTCATTTTACTCTCACTCTCTCTGATTTTACTATTTGTTTTAATATAGTGTTTTCTATAGAAAGAATTCTGAAAGCTGAATGCACTACACTGGATACTTTAGTGGTAGAAAATTGGGGTTCTAGTGCCAACTACTTTATACAGAGTCATAAAAAAGTCTTTAAACAGTCTGATCTAAATAACTGATGTTGGTGCAGTGTCCTCTGAAATGGTATTTATATTTCGTATAGAAATCAGTGAGAAACATCACTATGTTATAAAGGAAGGCAAACAAGAAAGCACTTGCAGCATGACAGAAACCGTAATGGCTTTTAGGTTTGCACTGGTGAGTGAAAGCCTTTAAAACAAGTATCTCTTGCAATGTGTCAAGAAGATAGTCACTTGACTTCTCTTACAATATACATAAATGCACGTCCGGACAAAGCTGCCTTCCAGCACATCACCACCACATTTTTTCTTGCAGAAAAGATCTACAAGAGAGTTAGTATTACCATATAGTACTTATCAAGACGCAGATTGTCTATCCCATTCCATTCACGGTTCATAGTTTGCCAAAATGTCTGAATGAACAGGTGTCCTGTAAGAGAGTAAGAAAAAATATGTGCATGTCTGGCACAACAGTTTATTTTGCTAACCTAAAGGAATCTCAAAAAATCACTTAAACATGAGAAAGGGATGCATTTCCCTCAGGATTTGCCTAGTGACAGAGATAGAGCTATGGGAAGACATGCTTGAGATGGCTACAAGGACAAGTCAATTAAACTTCAGAACAACACAAGGCAAGGCACACAGCTACTTCTAAAGACAAGTGTAATTACAGGGACAGCTTTTTATCTATTTTGTGTTATATACACACAAGTTAGAACAAAATATCCATCCTGCACTCATTTCTACCCATGCAAGTTCTGGCATTGACTGAGCACTCTGTTTCAAATGCATTTTTAATACTAGGTGCTTAACAGCTCATGAAACAAAGTTGGTATTGGAGTAGGAAATACACAGAACAAGTAAGTCTATGCAGAATGGCAAAGTAAGGGGACAAGTTTGCTTTGCTAACCACTCCGCAAAAGTCTCACCTTTATGACACTGGAGATACAACTCTTCCCCTGCAACAACCAGAAACAAACCGCATCTCATGCTTCCCTTAATGCAATCACACAGAGCAGTTGGACAAAAAGCAAAGAAAAAAAACAAAGCAGCACCCCTATCTGGCTGTCTCTATTCTGGCACTGGTATAGTGGCCTCAAAATTGCCAAAAGTGAAAGTACCTTACAGAGCGTTAGATAATGAAATAGTACTTACGAGCCTCTGTATTCTGAATCACATGGATAAGCTGTGACATGCTGTCTGCAAGTTCCTCCTAAAAGTAAATAAATATAGTTAGTACAGCACGTTTCAGAGCTTGGTTTCCTCACTAAACATGCAACCGGAAAACAGTAAAAGTATGAGTATCATGAAACATCCCTCAAAGTTAAAAATATTCTCTTAACAGCTGCTTTAGTACTACAGTTATCCTTCCACTGGCATTAGATCAGTTGCAAGAGAAGATTCAAGGGTATCAAGCCCTGTTCGTTTCACCAGATCTCTGCACAAATCATCTTTTGACAGCAGACAAAATTAAATTAGGAAGAGAAAAATCCCATGTATTTGAATTAACAAATTATGTAAAGCTTTAGGGGTACTGTTTTCATATAGCTTAATTGTAGAGCTCTCTGTGCTATGTATGAGATAAACCTTGTTCATGCAAACAGACAAGTGATTTGAAAACTGATTAAGTGAGGTTACAAGATCTGGTACTCCAAAACCGGTATCTTTTGAAAGTAGGGAGACAAACTGGCAGTAGTTGACAAAGGTAAGTGGTAGAGACAAAGTTGGTAGTAGGGGAAGTGCCACCGAACCAACAAAAGAAAAGCGTGAAACTTTCAAACTACGCTAACTAAAGGTTGCACGTACATGGTAGCTGCAGTTAAGGACAACCTGCTGTTACTGCTTTAATTCCACCAAAACAATGCACTTCGTAAGAGAATATATATTTCAGTTCTGGTTTTAGAAGGTAAACAGCTACACCTGCCATTCAGAGGGTGACTCCAAACATGATACTGTTTAGGCTTCTGTTCATGTGGTGAGGACCACTGAGTTATAGTCACCTCTCCTGCATATGCCACATATGAACAGCAGGAGAAGAAAAAAAAAAGGTCAGCAAAACTCAGGTCATTTTCACTATTCCAAATTAGTGTATTTTAGAAGAGACTCACTCAAGCAAATATAAAACCAGTTACTATACCTGTAGCAGAGGTTTATCCTGCATCCACATACAATAGAACAGGCCCTTCCATATTTTTAGCAGTTCTTCTTGGCTGAAGCCACCTATGGTACAGGAGAAGTCTGAATGAAAACCAAAAATCCCGCATTTCCATCAAAACGTTTTCATGCAGTTCCCTCTGTTCCCTGCTTTCCTCTTTGTTTTTGTTATATTCTCTTGGGCAAACATTGGTTCCTACTGTAAGCATACTAATTGGAAGGCAACTTGGAATAATTCAGTGATTTCATGACAGTAAGCTTCTATCTTGTACCAAAGTAACAAAGATTTCAAAGAAATCACACATGAGATGAGATGAATACTAAGATAATTCTGATAAATCTTTCTGGCATATTTTAGCACCAAGTCTGAGAGATATTTTTAATGAGTGCATCATACCTAATTTTGCAACAGAGGTGATGTGCAAATCCTCAAACATAACTGACAAGGCTTTTTGTTTTTGTTGGGGTTTTTTTTTTTGTTTTTTTTTTTCTGAAAATAAAGTCTCATTTTACCAATAGTTTTGTTCCTTACTAGGGGCTTGTTTTTATAGAATAAGCTTCCAGCAATCAAAACATTTACTTCTATATTAAAATGCATAATCAAAAATGCATAATAAAAATATTTTCATTGCAGTTAGTCTTGAGGTACAGTGTCATGTGAATTTTAACAGCAAAGAACATTTACACTGTCACATTCTAGTCAAAATCACATATTACAGAAGGGAAGTACTACACAGAAAATAAAATTTTACTATCAGTTGTTCAAGAACGTTTTAAAAACTGGGTTATCCATGACTTCAAATACATTTCTGGGAAGTAAAATTACAATGGCATACTTTACAAGGTAGCTACAATAACCTACTACAGCTATTTTCAAATTACGGCCTATTAAGTAGTCTCAAGTAATTTCAAGAAAAATCACATTAAAAAGGTAATCATCATTAGTAAACTCAAATTTGCTCCAAAAAGATCACTGCCACTTTTGAAAAATTTTCAGGAGTCTGCCAATCAAAAAACCTGAGACCCAGTGCTAGGTCTAAATTGAGTGCCTCCTCCTGGGACCAAATGATCAGGGGTCCAGGAAGGCTGGACGATCTTC